CACACACACATCCGTTGTGAAAGATCTGGACAGCCTAATCATCACACCACAAACACTGGAGATAACGACGGAAAAAAAAAGTCTTGTAAAATAACCCCACCCCCAAAACAATTATGTAAATTATGTTGATGCTATGCTGTTGCTGTTTACGACAATGACAATTATTCATCGTTACACACACACACACACACACTGATGTCTGTGCTCAATTAAGCAGTATGTTCGCCATTACATGTAGAAAACCCGACTTTGATTTCTATGGTTATTTTTTTTTTTGGGGGGGGGGGGTTGGGTTGAGGGAATTTATTATTGAGAATCTCCATCTTTCTGCGTTGAATCCTTCTCAGCCTAGGTGGCCCCTGACATGTTAAGTCAAAGTCCACCTCCTTGATGATCAATGGGGGGTGGTGGGTGGGTGTAAAAACATGTATATTAAGAAAGAACTTTTTAAAACCTCTAACCCCCCCCCCTCCCCTACTTAAAACAAGATTTGTTCCCATAAACATCATCTCAGACATTCAATGTGGGTGGTTGGTGGGAACTCTAGGGTGGTTTGCTCCTTCTTTCCTATCAAACATCTATTGCCCTTGTCTCCCTGACCATCAATAATCTATTTATAGAGGCACCAGCCATCCATGTCCAGGTGCAGTTTTAGCCGTCCTCATCTACCCTCCTTCTCTTCTATGTTTGTTTGTTTTACTCACTTGTAACAACTCCAATCTTCGCACTTATTATATGACCTAATAGTGTTGCAAGTGCCGTAAAACTCTTACTAAAAAAGCAAGAGACATTTAATTTTATAACAGGGATGTAAACAGATTTGGAAAAAAAAGCCGGAAAATATATGGCGCGCGCACACTGACTGAAATAAGAATACAGCGAGACTAAATTATATTTCCTTCTTTCCATTTATTACAACAAATAATCTCTATTTAGTATATTATATATAATATGTATTGTTTATAGCAGACTTTTGTTAAAAGCTGAGGCCCAAATGGCAAGTCAGCCGGAAAAACCGGAAAAAGCCGGAAGATTTACATCCCTGCTATAAGAAAGGTCCAGCAGGGGCACTAACTATACTGACCAGTCAGCTGGGGCACCGGGAATGTTACTGCCAGGGGAGGGAACCAGCACGGCATTGCGCTCCTCCGTCAGACACACCCACTGCTCAATGAGGGCGCGCTCCCGCTCCGAATCTGCCTCCGACTTGTCTGTGGGAATGGCGATGGACGAAGAAGGAATATTAATCGGTGTGGGAAATTGGATTAAAGTAAAGAACATTTGGTGCTGGTATGCTGAATTAATAAGAGATTGGATTAAGCAAGAAGTGGGGAGGGGGGTGGGCAGGAGGGAGCGAGAGAGGGAGAGAGAGAGGGAGAGAGAGAGGGGGCGGGGCGGAGGGAGGGAGAGAAAGAGATAGATAGAGAGAGCCAGAAAGAGAAAATGAAACAAAGAGAAAGATACAGGAGCAGACAAAAAAAGGAAGAGAAAAGACAGATATCAAGACAGAGAAAGAAAGAGAGAAAGAAATAAAGAGATACCTTAAAGACAGACAAAGGGAGAGACAAACAGACAGGTAGAAAAAGAGAGAAAGAAAGAAATGACTACTTCTGTAGTTCTGGACCTATTCACAGTCCTATGTCAGAAATTATCAAAGTTTGCCATCATTGAAGAACCATATGGGAAAGAACTATATAGGGTGTTCCCACACTCCCTTCAACCCACACAAAAGGGTTAAGCAAGCACTTCCATTCACTTGACGATGGAGATCAAGCAGGGTTAACTCTTCAACGGCGCCAGAGTTTCTCGCTGAATGCAAATTTTCGAAACTGACAGAATAATAATTGGCTGTGTCACACAACTCTTTTTATTTTTCAATAAAATGGGACAGCACACCAAAAGAAATACCTTTTCAATCTTTCTTAAACTAAAATTGGGCTGCCAGTCATAAATGTAATAATCTGCACGACATTAAGCACACTGTCATCTGTGGTGTAGTTGTTAGGAGCTTCACCATTGCACGCAGAAGACGTGAGTTTCATTCCCATGTGATGAGGCGTTATTATTTTTTTTTTTTGGAGTAATTCCGTCAGTCTGTTGGGATGCTGCATCCCTCTCAACCCAGGCTGAGCCTGAAGAAAGCAGGGTTGAAGCCTGCCCCCTGAATTAGGCCTATCTAAATCATATTGAAGTGGGCATGTTGTTGTTGTTGTTGTTGTTGTTATCGATCCAGCAACAGCTGGGCTCTCGCCCTTCTGTCCAATGCCATGTAGTGATAAGTGCAGGTCTGCTGCAGTTGCTGTAATGTTCCATAGAGTGTGTTGTCAATGTTAGGTCTCGGAGGGAGAAGGGTAGCTCTGATGTCATTTAGGGCTGTGCAGTGGAACAGGTGATGATCCGCAGTCTCATATGCATAGTCACACAAGGGACACATTGAGGGAAGTTCCGGGTGAAGTGGGCATAAAGCTTCTACAATTACATACAAAGTTGAACCTACTCTACTAGCCACCTGTCCAAGTCATAATTTACTTGTGCAAACAACCGCTCTCAACTTCCCCTCTTTGTGTCTTTAATACACTGTTAACAAAAATAAAGACACGATATGAAAGCACTCAGGTCGCGAGTCTGTCCGACAAAAAACTGCTCTGACTGACTGACTGACTGACCTTGCTTGTTGATGAGCTTCTGTATCTGTTCGTCCAGGTACTTCTTGCGTCGGGCCAGAGCTTTGGACCAGTGGTCCCGCAGCACAGTCAGGTCCTCCTCCTGGTACGAGTCCAGACCCTTCTGCAGCCGCGAGCGCACGCAGACGCAGCCAATGGCCAGCGAGCTGATGGACTCGCAGATGAGGGGCAGCGTGCCCGAGTTGGCCACCGGACGTACGCGGACGAGCACACGGCGGGAGTGACCCTGGTGGAGAGGGGAGGGAAAAATGGGAGGTTGGGTTATCATGGTATTGAAGAAGCTTGAGATATAAAAGTTTTTGTATCGCTATGATATAGAAAACGCTTGTGGTACAGAAGTTTTTTTTGTATCATTATGGTATGGAAGAAGCTTGTGATATAGAAAAAGTTTTAGTGCTTTTGTGGTATAGAAGAAAGTTTTAGTGCTTTTAGTTTCAGGGGTATAGAATGAATTTTAGTGTCTCTATGGTATAGAAGAAGTTTTTGTGTCTTTGTATAGAAGTTTATGTGTTTTCGTTTCATTGTGATATAGGACAAGTTTGTGGTATTGAAGAAGTCTTTATGACTTTGGGATATAGAAGAACATAATTTTGTCTTCGTGTCTTTGTTGTACGGAAGAAGTTTGTGGTATATAAAACAAAATTGTCGTTTTTGTGTCTTTGTGATGCATTAAAAGTCTTTGAGTCCTTCCTCCAATATAGAGGCATAGAAGAAAGTTTTTGTGTAAATTGTTTCAATACAAAGGAATAGAGACTCTTGCTTCATTAATTCATTCATTGGCACTGTGAAAGTGTATATTATCTGTTTGAATTAATTAAAATCATGAAAGTTTCTGTGTCACTGTTTCATGCACTAGTAGCCTACACATGAAGTATACCTACCATTGTTTGATAAACACATTACTGTCTATTTGGTTTTATATGTTAGCTCTTCCTCTCGTATGTAATAGACAAGAGTTTGAACCAGCTCTGGGTAATTTATCATATCCAGTGCATGTATCTCTGTCTTTCAGCTGGAATGTTCTATCTCATTCAGCTGCCCCCCAGGTTTGCCCACACAGGCAGGCAGGCAGGGTCGAAGCAGCCCTAAACGATCTGAATTATGTCGACGCTTCTGTAAATATTTACAATATTTTTTTGTATCTTCCGTTTAAAGCAAAGGGGAGCAAACTGTGAGAATTCATCCTGTGTGACAAATTTACGTGATCCTCAACAGCGCTACAAGAATTGCTTCATCAGCTCCAAAAGCATACAGAAGTAATAAAAATATAATTATGTGTCGATAAATTTTTCATTTTACGCTGTGTGTATGACCATAAATTTTCAATATTATGAGATAGAGAGAGCATGGGGGGAGAGGGGAGAGAGAGAGAGAGAGAGAGA